TGTAAATCCCAACAAAAATTTCACTAGCCACCAAAATATTTGTTCAGTTTTTACATGTACTGTTAATATTTTTTCTTACTTTCATTTTGAGGTTTATTATCAGAGCTGACTGTTTGGAGAGTAAAAGTTTACTGTTTTGGAAATGTGTAGACGTTATGATTCTACACGAAAGTTATTTTTTAACAACATTTAATTCTCTTTTTTCATAAGAAACAAAGTAATGATAAAATGATGCGTGAAAAAATATTTCAACTAACAATAGTTGGATCGAGTTCTTTATCGTCATCAGAAATGCAATCAAGGCCTTTCTCGATTTTTGTCAAGAAAATCTCTTCTTTTACGGAACTGTCAAATAACTTGTAAAACAGTCTGTTATCATCAGGTGCAGTGATAAAAAGCCATATTAATACAGCACCATTTATTAATACTAAGCTGATAAATAAAATTGCTAATCCATATGAAACTGCTATGCGAAGAGACCGCTATAAAAATTCTATTCCATTTTTGAAACCATAAATTTTCTTCGGATATTTTAACTATATCATTAGTAATAATATATTATTGATTATTTCTTTATTCCTATTATCATGAAACAATGTGTGAAACTGTTAGAAAGAAATTGAAGAGAAATTCAATTTTAACAGCTAAAATAGAAATAAATCCGAAATCTCAGGATAGGACCTCGAGACACTGAAATTTAAATTTTTAAGCCTTAGTTACCTGAAAACAAAATTTTTTATCTGTTAACATTTAATGACTGCAGCATTACCGTTTTCTTCATTTTACCTTCATAAAACTAAAAACTGTGCTTCCTGCTTTAACCGCTTATTGTATATAAAATTCGAATTTTTAATGATTGAGATATTCCCTGCTTTCAATGCATGATGATAAACCATAAAAATTACCTCTCGATTTGATCTCGGTTTTTGAAATTTGAAAAAAAAAGGAATAATTAATAACATGGCCATAAATACTGCTATCGTTGACGTGCACCACAGTAATAATAACTTCATTTCATGCTGGAATATAAAGCAAACAAATCAGTGCACATAAGATCGAATTATCTGAATGATTCCAATGTTTTGTGTCATTATTAATCAAAGATGAATGCGATACATTTGATCCCTACCGAAAGTAAAAAAGTTTGATAGGAAAAATTATAAGTAATTGCTGTAAGTGTAGCTTTTAAAGCTGTGTAAATATTTTCCGTTTGGTAACGCAGTATTGGTGTAGTGATAGAGAAGTTAGGGTTAACTATTTTCTAGACTTTACTCACAAAAATTAAATCTCAATTTATTATTTGTGATAGTACTTACAGCTGTATCATTCAATATTACTTGAAATAGCATCTCCTACCCAACTCAATTTGGGTTCTTAAGTGGTTCAACCGTCTATTGTTTAAAAAAATCAATATAAACAAATAAAACTTTGTGGTGACATTTGAGATACATGAAGGAGATTCACTGCTTTTTCTGTTAAATATTTTCATGTCAATTTATAGATAAATAGAGATAGAGTTATTTTGAAAGTAGATACGTGTAGTCATTTGGTTCCTGAGCACTATTTATTTATTATATGTATTTATATTATAGTTTATAAACATATATGTGCTCAAAATAATTGTTTTATTATTCAAACTATCTCCTCTATCGATGATTGTTTTTAATGTTTGTAACGAATTGTTCCTTCAACAACAAAGTATCAAAATTGTAATTTTCATGAAAAGTCTTTAATATTAATTAAACTCAAAGACAAAAAAATATCGAAATAAATGGGCACAAAGAGTGTGAAAAAATCAGTATTTTCAATAGAGTATTAGTTTATGCCATATTGAAATTTATTTTTTGTGAATCGATACTTGGTTTAACAGATTTGAATATAATGGAACATTGTTTCTGGAACAAAATCTTCTACCATCAAAAATTTGCTAATAAGAATAGTCTCTATAAGATATTTATGTGAAGTTAAATGCTGTTTCCATGCATTCAAAATTTGTTCTCCGAATAAAGTTAAACGATTTATTTGGCTAGAAATAAGTCAAGCAACTTATGAAAACTGATCAACTTTAAAATGAAATCAATAAACTTTTCACTGCTGAAATTTACGTATGAAAATTGAATTATGCAATCTTCAAAGTCTAAATTTTCTTCAATAAAAAAAATAAACAAACATTTCCAAGAATTTGTCGCTCTTTCTGGCTCCAAATGAAGTCAGGGATTTGTTTTTGCTTTGTATCATCAAACATATATATAGCAATTGGAAACAATATTGTGCACAATTCGTAATATTTCTGAGCAATTGCCATCGATACAGCGGAAATGATTAGTTCGAAACCACAAACAAGATACACAGCATATTTATGATATGGTGGTTGGCAGCCATTCCATTTCAGCATGTGTGCTCTCATTTAAGTCCTTGAAGTTAAAACTGAAGTAAATTAAGTCGTTTTTTTGCTGAGCTTTTCATTTTTTTGATTTAATAAATATTGTAGCATTCAAAATAATAATTCAGAAGACTGAAAACTAAATCATTCGTTTCTTATATTTGCATTAAATACCAAAATTATTACTGCAAATTGTATTAGTGAACATATATCAATTCAACTTAAACTGTCGAGCTTGTAGAATAAAACTGGTACCTTGCAGTTATTGCAGTAGTAATTATGAAATGCATTATTATCAATTAATCACTCTGAGTACGTCTATAAAATATATTAACCTTTATTAATCACTGAACTCGCAGTTAGAAAAATGTACTGGCAAACTTCAAGGATTTAATTTATGATACTAGTTCACAATGTTTTCTATCATGTTAGTTTTTCCGAAGGATTTGGAATAGAATTATTAAGTAATGACAAGCTATTATGAAATGATAGAAAAATTTCAGTTCAAGTCAGGTTTTGATTAATTAGTGATTTCCTGATTCAAAAGGCTAAAATTAACTATTTTAATGCTTTTTTCTGCAAAATTTTCGTGTGAATTACTAGATTTTTTCAATCTCTAATCAAAATCATTCATTTTGCTTATTGCTGTACAAGAACTGAAATGCTGTATTATAATATTAAAAAAAAAAAGAAAAAAAAAGAAATAAAATCACGTCAATTTCCGCGACAGTAAGTTTTTAACAGTACTTGCGGACATATCAGTATACTATCATATTTTGAAGCGTAGCACACCTTTATACCATTAACAATTTAAGTTCATTTAATAATACTCAAATGTTATATAATATTAAATGCACTGATCTTAGCACAGCTTGCCTTCAGGCTGTCAGAGCAATTTAATTTTGTTAAAAATTATTCCAATTCAGAAATAAGAAACTTTAAAATGAGTAGAAAATTGATGGAACGACTAGCTGCTATTTATATCACTGATAACATTGTCTTAGACCTACTGATAAAGCAAATTCATACGAGTGGAATGATAAATTACACTTTCATTTAAGGAATATTTCTCACCGACTTTTCTGTTAAAAACAAGTTATACTTAGCATTTTAATTTCACGAAGAACTAAGATGAAATAAAATTTCACAGATATTTGAAATGGAAAATAAAAAGTAATTTAAGTTTCTGCTTCACTCCTGTAAGTTGGATTTTGGATTACTTTTCAAAACTTCTGGAATAGCTTGAGATCTAAACTAAGCCTGAAATGAAATAACTGTTCAAGCTTTTGTATTGAAGAGTGAATAAATTAATGCTTTGAAATGAACGTAATTTAAATAGGTGGAGAAGTAATTTTGAATTTTTTCTAGACATTGATGATTTTGTCCATGCTTCCTTTTGCATTAAATTTAAAGTAAAAGAATTAGCTTAATCTGAAGAAGTGATGTAAGGGAAGATTTTTAGGAGATATTTCTTGAGGCTTACTTTGAATTAAGTAACAGCGTGAATTCAGATCGATTTTAAGGAACTGCAAAATGATGAATTGATTGTAGGGCGTGCTGGCATACATACACGCAAATAAATATATACATACACGTATACATACAAATACGCCAAACATTTGGTAGCAGCACTAAAGAAATGCAAAATCAAACAATAAACAAACCCTAAACGAGTTCTTATTAATCTGTTGCAAGTATCAAGAAGTCCGGATGATTTGTTCACAACATTTTTGATTCATTTCACTTTGTTTCTTCTTTCGCTGCGAAGAATGATTGCAAGTGTTTTACTTTAAGTATAGTGTGAATTTCGCGGCATGCATGAATGAAATATATAAAATGCGAATCGACAAGATGATATAAAATTTTAATTTATGATTGAAATCTTGGAATCTGTTTCTCTTCAATGATCGCAGGCTGCATCTGTTTCTCTTCAATGATCGCAGGCATCAAGTAATGAGAAGTAAAATAAAGTAATTTATTGCACAACTTTAAGCTTACTCTAAACTTTATGGCAAGGCAGCTCTTTCAAAATAAAAATCAAAGACGACAAACATGCAATGGAAAATTCGAATCCGATCTTCCAGCGCAAGTGAGAATCATTAGACCGCAATGCAAGCTGCTTACTTAATCGACTTGCTACTCACTTAATTTGCTTAGATTTGATTGCAAATAATCATATAATTGTATCATTATAAAATTTGTTATAAAGCTTATCGCTGCTGCGCGAATCTACCATTCATTTTCAGTGCATACTACACATGTGCGTGCTGCCAGCCTCTTATCCACACGCAACGCCTACAATTTAATTGCATATTTTTAAAGTCCTGTTGTAATTTCAAATTTATAAATGGCATTGACACTTCGTAAGAGATGAATGCCTGTAAAAACATGTATAAATTGGGCACGCAATTGTGAAAGTGATAAGTATTAAAAAGGCATTGTACTGAATGAAAGATTTCAGCAGTAATCTGAATTTAGCAGCTAGAGTTGAATTTCCATATTTAACACCTTAAATTACTCTTTTTCGAATCACTTTTGGTGAGTATTACTTATCTATAGATATAGGTCTTAAAAATGCAGGCAAGTGAAATAAAAAGGCACTAAAAGCCTGAAAAACTTCTTTCATCAGTCACAAATGAAGAAAAGGAAAATTCCTCCGTAAGAACTTTTGTATTTTGAGGCAATAGCAGCTTGGCAGTGTAAAAAATGGACACAATGATACAATGTCACACACTTCGTCACGACCGTATTTGTAAGAAACTTTGTTTGGGCATTGTGACGTGCAAAATAAAAAATGCATAATTATAAGCCTTTACACTAGATATCATGGCAATGCGAAGAATAATAAAAGCAAAGGATCTGCATAATTGTATGTCATTAATTAGCTTATAAATGAATGTAAAAAATTTCAACAAATCAAAGTTTGCAAAAAGTGAAAGCATGTATAACACAGAAAAATGCTATAAGCATTGTTGATGACATGAGAGGTAGCGGAAAAATTCCGTCGACATTTTTTAGTATTTTTTTCATGAAATGTTAATTTAAGACTGCAAAGCGCATGTCATGGAAACAATTTATTACATAAATTTATTTATAATCATTTACAACTAAATTTGCATAGAAAATGTGCAAATCCTTGCATATATTTATGTATATCATAATTAAAAGCGGAATTTAAAAATAACTAAAATTCAGCTCTGATTGAAATCGTGAAAGATAAACTATATTAGTGCTTCTACGGAATTGGCAATGTATATATTATGAAGAAATTATTCACTTTTGAGCACAACAAATAATTACTTCACATTTGACTACTCACATTAGCGATGATGTAACAAACGAAATAAAATGATAGCAAGTGATAGTCTATCAACTTGTTCATTACAGTCTCTGTAATAACATTTTTGAGTGCCACATTAGAGAATTATCCACCTTAGTAGTTAGTACATGTGGTGAATACGCGCATTTCAACTTTTATAAAGTTTACCTTTGAGTCAAAAATAATCAGCTTGTGAGAGGAATAAAGCGTCAATAGATGCTGAAGCTTAATTTACGAGATAAAATTTTTCTTTTTGAATAATTGTAAAGAGTTATATTCAGTTCAGAGTCGAAAATAGCGGTATAAACATTGAGAATAGAATTTAAGCCGCTGTATTTCAGATAAGAGATTGGTAAGTGGTAAGTAAGTAATCTAATTGTGCAACAAAGTTCGACTATTCCAAACAAAAGGTAATTTTTGCTTCTAATGGTTGTGCTTGAAGAGTGATTTAGAAGTGTGATCTGAAAAATTCATTATTCAGATTCTATCTCGATCAATCATTCACAAATGATTTACTCGCAAAATAAGTTTCATAATGATAAAAAAAGTACCGAACAAAGTTACTGTACACTGAATATTTTTTGGCACTCATTTTAATGACTGTGTGGATGGTAAAAAACTAAGTTTGCAATTGATTGCAATGCAAAATCGTGCTTGGATGAAAGAAAATATGGAGTAAACGAGATGGGATTTCAATTTTTAAGATCAACTGAAACTAAGGCTGGATTTTTGAAAATTTATAAAGCAACTTGAGCCACAAAGTAGTGACAAAAGTTTTGCAGTATCAAAAATGAGATGGAATGAAGTAAAGCATCAAAAAATCACGCAATACATTGTAGGTATGCAGTTGACAAATGCTTGAAAATGCTGAGTGAACAATCGAAAATGGCAAAAAATGAAATTATATGACGATAATAAAATTATAAAGTGTACGGTAATATAAAACAATAGTTATTTATTACTGTTTTAATTCTTGCATAAATTGCTAGTGAAGTATTAAACATGTCGATAGTTGTTTATCTCTGTATAAATAAAGGTGACAAAATTATTAATCTAGTGAGCGTAGTGAAAATAAAATGAGGACCAACTGAATATGCATGAAAATTGAATTATCGAAAAATAAATATTAGACAGAACCAAGAAATTTATCGCAGTCATGGTGAATTCTGTGCGCAAAAAAAGCTATTGCAATTTGATGAAAAAGGCTTATCCAAGCTCCACAATAGAACAGATATGAGTGAAATTGAGGCTATGCAATGATAGCTTTACAAACGATGACTTATCTGTTATCTTTTTATTCGGACATCAGAACAGGCTCATTGTCTGCATTTAATTAATTATCGCAAATTCGTTAGAGTATTTTGTAAATTGTTTAGTTGAGAACAGTTAGGAGTACTTGACAGATAAATGATCAATCATAATATGAAACACTGAAAAAAACAAGCAATGAATACTTGTAACAACATTTGCTTGACATCGTTTTTCTCAAAATGTAGCAACTTCCAATTTCAACAAAATACGGAGAATTCAAAACCGATCAATATTGTTAATTTAGTCATTTAAGTACAGATTGATAATAATTGATAAAAACGTGGTCAAGTTTGAGTTAATTTTTTGGACGATTAGTAACGCTAACTTGACACCTAAACTGTGTCATTTTAGAGTAGCTGAATAGGTGAGATGAAAGCAACATGCTGATGCTCTAAGGCTTGCTGTATCATCTCGCCAAGAAGCTTCTTTTGATCCTCTGAAAGCGAGTTTAGCACGTCCACTGTAAGTGTTGCTCTCTCATTAAATGGTTTATAGTTTGCCTGGAAATAAGACTTTTATTTGCACTAATATCTTCAAGCACAAACTCAAGAAAAAATTGTCAATTAGTTTCCTTATGAGTTTATTCTATTTCAAACTTTGTTTCAGTGGCCAAGCATTACTTGATTTGCAATAAACGTTTGCGATTTTTGCAATTATTCCTTTTGCTTCCTAAAATTTATTATATTTGCCTCGAAAAATGATTTATTGTAACACATTATACCTTATTAATGCACGTTGAGGAATCTGTCGCACGGCAGCGTAAATATAGTGCATTATTTGCTAACGTATAAAAGTATTTTCCTTTGATATAGTTTGCTTTCACAATATTGATATCATTGATAATAAATGCTGGATATGACCAAAAACTTGTCGTAACAATAAGCCCTTGAGGACGTACTTGCAATAAATCGAATGCTTCGCTGACCTGTAAAGGAATAAATTTGATATTTACTCAGTTCTTTATCATGCTATTTATTTATGTAAGCCTTTTTTTTTGTTGATATTACAAAAAATATGAAAATTTTCAGCAATATCTGAAAATAAAAAAATTAAGTATACTTGCTGTTTAGGAACACGTGGTACGTAAAATGTACAAATGTATTTCTAAAATGACTTGCACCATTTGAGAATTCTGACAATTACTAAATCTGACTAATTTTGTAATGCTTTTTTTTTCTGAAGCACATAGTTTGTTTTTCATCTTGAGTTTCCATCGCATTTTTATTGGCATGAAACTGAATTATGCCTTAAGTTATGGTAATTACGTAATTTTTATGATAAAAATTTGGAAAGTTTACAAAAATAGTCTTATACTGAGGAGAATTTGCGAGAACTAACGCCCTCGTTCTACTCTCAATATATAAATATATGTAACACTGATTTAGTAATAATTTGTCTCATTTAGATCAGAAATTCTTGTTAAGATGTGACTACAATTTTTACTTTCTTTCACGTATAAATATAAGCGATAACGAGCAAGTGAGCTCGAATCAAACTTTTACTTTTATAGACATTTTTTTCACTTAAAAATGCAATCAGTTTGTATTAGTGCCTAACACAAGTTAGGGAACAACAAAAATTGATAACTTATAATTAACATGAAATCAATAAGTTGAAATCAAATTTAAAAAAAATTGTTCTGCAGACATCTTAATGTTTGCAGAACAATTTTTTTTTATAATGTGTAATGTGTTTCTTTGCATTCGCAATCGCTAACCGCTTCACGTAATTGATTTCTGACGTATTTATTGGCTTGTGTGAAATTGACTTGCTGCCCGGGAACACGCGGTACGTATAATGTGTTTCTAAAATAAAATGATGCAACAAATATTTAAGTTTTGGAAACTGATTATTCAATCGAATTGCTTCGTAAATTTGTCAGTAATTCACCATTTGATATTTAGTAGCATAAAGTCATCATCACCTTCAGTTTAATATCTTATAAATTATTATATGCTGGGTTTTGCAGAAATGAATGTCAATAGCAAATTTTCGACATTAAATTCAAATATTTGCAAAAAATTTCTTGTCATGATGCAATTTTTTCCATTTCCAAAAATTTGCATGTAGGTGAAAAGTGAGTATATTAAGTTTGTTTACAAATCGATAAAAAATTATAAGAGATATTCGAGAATAAAAGAATCATAATATATGATATTATTTAGCAATTTAAGAACTATAATAGCTAATCAGTTTCTGTTAGTAACAGTGTTTGGTGATAATAATTACAGCTGTGACTAAAGTTTTGCCATTTTTGTCATTAAACAGGTTCACTTATCAAATTCAAGACAGCTTGAGAGTTACTACTAGCCAAGGATGAAAATCACCAAGTAAAGCAAAATAAAGTAACGATAACAAACTCTTCGCAATCACAAAAACAGTTATAAGTCCAAGTAAAAGGTGGCCTGAACCGAATTTGGTAAACCATCACTGATCCTCCAACTCCTTGAATACAGTAGGTTTAAAACGCTTTACATCTAGCAAAGACCAAACCTGCTTATTGTGATTTTTTATTAAAATTTACTTTCGAATTTTTCTGAAGTTCAGTTTGTTCATGTTTTGTTTTCAATGCTGCAAGTTTATGCTATTTTATATTGCTTACTTGGGGAAGTTTGCTGAAGTAATGGTAAAGATTCATCGAATTGTTTGCTCCGATACGGTAAGGTTTGTTCAAGATTTGTGGGTTTATCAGATTTTGGGATATTTAACGAAGCAGAATTGAAAGAAGACATTTGCGGCAAGAGGTTCTTATCAAGTACTGCACTGAATGCTTGTCGTATTTCACGTTTCATGCTTTCACTATGTATTGAAAATTGTTGCGAAGCAATTTGTGATGAGTAATTGAGAGGAAATCTTGTGGCCTTCGTGCAGTTGCTTGCCTCAACAGTATTGTGTGAGAAGAGTATGAAAGCTTAGATGAGAAATCAAATCAAAACTTCTGTGACTGTTTAAAACCAAACAAATGAGAGCAGTTAAAAATTAAAACACGTATAGTTATGAATAACTTTGCACTAATTCAATGACTTTATTTAAATAACCAGATTTAAATAACTTTATTTAAATTTTCCACTTGGCAAAATGTTGCATAAATAGTTACGCTCGCAATTATTAAAACAGTTATTTAATAATTCACGCTCATTTGTCAGTTTTCTTTTTTCTACTCGGAAGGTGGCACGCGCAATACAAATTGCAGTAAAAAGAATGGAGGAATCAAACAGTACGTTTTTAAAGCTTTTTTAATAACGTATAATATTATTATTTAAGTGCACTGGCTTTTTGTTCAGCTCAATAATTTTTAAACCTGCTACTTTTGATATATAACCAATTTTATAGAGAAGTTTGATACTTCAAAAGCTCCTGTTCCGAAAAATAAAGGTATTACAGAGTTTGCACCATGTCTAAGAAGTCGCGCATCAATAAAAGTAATGTTTTTCGTTGGAAAAGTATTGTTTTTTTCATTAATCTATTCATGCGTTCTAAAAATAAAAAAATCTAGCTGTTTATGTTCTTTACCTAGTTGATGTTCAATGCTAAAAACAGTAATCAATGCATATTTAAAAAAGCTTCACAGTCTGTTATAAAATGACTCTTCCATGTTATTTTTCACAAGAAAGGGAGAATCACACTGCTGTGCCGTAGGGTTGCGGCTAGCTCTCAAAAAGGTGATGCGCACGAAGATCAGGTGCACAAGGATGCTGCACCAACTGAACCGCAGCGAAACGACGCTGAGATAGATGCATTTTCAATTGTCTCAGTCAGCCAAAGTCGGTCGATGTGTGTGCAAAATGTTCTGCACGAAATTCATCTAATTTTGATAAGAAATTATAAATCATTGTAACCAATGGTAAAACTTTTGATTTAAGTATGAGTTTCATTTTAGAAGTAAAAAATTAGCATGTACACAACGCCTACACTTGCATATAGAGCTGTAACAGTCCGAATTAGCAAACAAACGCTGCCAATAGGACTACATTTCGAGCTTTTTTCTATTCATCATTCGCCAACGCATAGCATTATTGAATACTGGTGGGTCAAGTGGGTAGCTGGAGAGTATTCTCGACTCCTTATGCATAGTTCAGTTGACATGAAAGAGAATGAGATATGGGAAGAAAGTATGTGCAAATAATTTATCTAACTGTCCAACAAGTTTTATATTATGGCTACTATTCTGATGACAGCAGTAAAATGTTTTCCATCGCATACTTTTGCAGTGATCGTGTATTTGAGTGAATAAATCTAATAAATCGCTTTGTGCACTTCAATGCAGCAGTAACTTATCTGATTAGTGTAGTTAATTAATTTATGACACATCAATACTCCTGCTTTTCCTTAACTTATGATCCCTTTACAACAGTATTTAATTAATTGCAGTACAACGGTAAAGGTTAGTAGCAGCTTTGCTTGTGTGCATATTTGATCACTTGTACTCATCAACATTCAAAGAGCACAATCTACTACTTACATGAGTTTCATTTGTCGACACTTATCCTTTTGAGAATAATAGCTGATACAAATAGACAATATATACGACGTTAGGACTCACATAGATCAATTGGTTAATCGATCGATGGACAGATAGACAAACAGGGGTGAAGAGGAAGGAAGCATAGTTACTGACAGAAGGAAGGGTGTGGTGTGCAAAGGAAGCGGAGTATTTCGTTGGCCTTGCCCAGCTGTTTGTGTCTCGCCGAGACTGGTCATGGGGTGACTGAGTGCTGATCGATGGGAGGAGGGCAGTTAGTTGTACTGCGTTGATTGGTGCTTCGCTTGAGTCTAATCGTCAGCGCATTTTGGGATTCTTTTTGAATTGTTGGTGGATTTTTTTCTTTTCGATTCCTCATTTTCGTTACTTGGTTTCTTCCACGTCTTTCCCTTCACGTCTTTCATTTTACTTTGATGTGTAATTTTTTTCAGTGCAATGGCTAGACCTAAGGTGTTCTTTGATATTACCATTAATGGAAGTAACGCTGGTCGGATCATCATGGAGGTATAGCTATTTGGAATTTTCCGTCTCTTGGCTTGTAGTTATTTATTATGGAAGGAGGAGTAACGTGTGTAAATGCAAAATAAATATAGTTGTGTAACTGTCATTTGTTCAGCTGATGGCAGCTGCAAGTACTGGTTTGACTGGGGTCTTTACTCATAAATAAGTTATGGATTATCTATGTTAGTAATGTTGATAATTAATTTTTCTAGCTGTTCGCTGATATTGTTCCAAAAACAGCTGAAAATTTTCGATGTCTGTGTACTGGAGAAAGAGGAGTTGGGAAAAGTGGTAAAAGATTGCATTACAAAGGATCGAAGTTTCATCGAGTGATACCTAGTTTCATGTTACAGGTATGTTAGTTACCTTAATTAAGGGATTATGTTAGTAGGGAACTGAAAAATGACTAGTTTATCTGCATCCTATTATGATATGAGTAATCTCTATTTCTTGTGCATATTGTATTGTGTGCATAATGTTTTGGGCTTCAGAACTTGACATTCTTTTAGGGTGGTGATTTCACTCGTGGGAATGGTACTGGAGGCGAATCTATATATGGCGAAAAGTTCCCAGATGAGAATTTTGAGGTACTGCAAGCTCTTACTTGACTTTATGGAAGCAGAATATATTATTCCTTGTCTTGTAGTTCTAGTCATAAAACTCAAAGTCGATTAAATGATTATGTCTTATGTAGCACTTTCCTAATTTGGTTCTATAAAACACCTAAGGTATCTTATTGAAGTAAATCTTAAATGTAGGAAAAACATGTTGGTCCTGGTGTTCTATCAATGGCAAATGCTGGACCCAATACTAATGGCTCGCAATTCTTCATTTGTACTGCAAAGACAGAATGGTGAGTTACTTAATAATTATTGTCTACTGTGATAAAATTGTGAAGTTTTGAAAAGCATTGACGCTATAGTAAAGTAAAAGTAGTGATTTGTGCTGAAATGGGCGAGGACACTGGAGTTTTTTTTCGAGCAAATTTTCTGTAGCATTTCTAATTTTGTTCTTGTACTTTCGCTGTAATTTTTATCTGACGCAATCAGTCATGTTTGTTCCAATATAAGAAGCTATATTACTATCATATTTTCGTATATCGTGTTTGCGCATTACTTTAAGGTTGGATGGGAAACATGTTGTTTTTGGTCGTGTATTAGAAGGTATGAGTGTAGTAAAAGCAATCGAAAGCAAAGGATCCCAGAGTGGACGAACATCAGCTGAAGTGGTGATATTCGACTGTGGACAGCTGTAAATCTGCTTTTGCCAATGGAATGCTTTTTCTTATCCTGCGTTGAAAGTTATTTAAATTTGTAAGAAATCAGATATATGTTGCTTCAGTACAATAAAAGTTTAGTTCATTGCATAGCTTCTGTTGATCGTGAACAAAACACAATAAACGGTAATTTATCATGAGTGTGCGTTCAGTTGGATTTATGAAAATAGCGCATGCGAGAAAACTAGTGGTCCGTCAATGCGGTGCTTCGGAAGCTGGTGCATGCGAAACAGTTTGATGTTGGAGTGGATACGTTGGTTGAAATAACGTAGCTTGATGGTAATTTCCATGTGGGAGTTCGGTTGTACTTTACATCAGGCTCAGCAAAGTGCGTTGTGCAGTATTTCTCGCTAGTTTGCACGACTTAGAGTGTAACAGTACTAGTGGTCGAAGGTGTGCCGATTTTGAAGCCTAGTCTAGTCATGGCTATGCCGGTTTCTGCAGAATTACCTTCTTTGGTTAGTACTAACAATCAATCAGTGTAGTGGTTGGGAGTACGTGCATTTGCGCTCAGTCTCCGAATCAAAATAAAACGCTTCGGTACTCTGTTTCTCTATCTTACAAAGTCGTTTCAGCCAAATAGATAACGCACCTAATTCCTAATCAAAAGTTAGCAAGTCCGACCCATATCTGGCTGGGTTGCGTGTTTCTTTTTTACGTTAAATATTTGAACTTCCACTGTTAAAAATGAGCGAAGCTAATCTAGAAAGACTTTAGAGACACTTCTTTCTGTGCACAGAGTAGGTACATATATTTTGCAAATTTATTCAATCAAGCAACGAGCTACTTTTTAGATAGCTAAACGCCAACGTGATGAGACTGTATATATAAAGACCTACTCAAACTAATGATGCGTTTGAAGGTTAGGCAAATTAAGAAACATCAGAAGCGTTAGGAAATGTTGACTAGACAGTATCTAAAAGAAATGTGGCTTCCATTGTTGTTTCTCCGGTGATAGTATTGTCTTATTACATCACATCATTTCTCAGCCCTTATCACAACGGAAATATCACTATAATGGATAAAGATCATACCAACAGGAATAGTTACATCGAGCATGCCTCGTTAAAAACAGTACACTACTTGCTTTCGAAAACGAGGATCATCCAACATTACAAAGCACTGCAAATGTTTGTCTGCATGCGTATATGCCAGATGGTGAATCAATCATAACATAACCAAAAAAGTCACCTCCGAATCACTAATATCATTCATGGTTTTGTTGATTTGTCTGGTCCACTACTTATACGTGCAGCAAAAAACCACCCCTTGAAAACATTAAACCTAGTTAATCACCTCTTATCCCACTGAACACACGTCACTCACAATAACCGACACTTACGAAGTCCAACAGTACAATTCCTTCTAACATTTTCAACATACAGATCCTTAACAATGTGAATTGATTGGCCATAACTGTCCCTATAGTTCGTCAACGCCAGTAAACTAGAATACTTACAATGAAGCAATGCTACAATCGCGAAACCCATTGACAGAACATACGTAGAAACAATTGAGAACTCATAGCCCTTGCATATGGACGTCCATTTACAGTCGCTCTCACCCCAAAACAATATTATCCTTACAAAATGCGAAGTGTTCTTCACAAAACTTGACCATTTTTATTTCGATTCACAATTTCCAGCTTATCATCCAATTTCGCAACTTCGACTTCTAACATGACAATTCAAAACAGAGGCAACTTCAGAATAAGTGGCAAGCTTATGAAATATTTGATAAAAACGAAATATCAGTTGGTTAGATCCAACTCTTAGAGAGAATCCTTGACATGCGATGCGCAACGAATATACGTTTCGTCTACCCATATTGACTATCAAGATGACGTTCTTCACGCTCTAAAACTTTTCAATACAATGCAAATTCAAAAACAATGCAGAACCATCTTAAAACATGAGGTGAGTTTGAAATATACAGTACTAAAATCCTTCGAGACTTAAAACTTGATATTTTCCACATAACAAAGAATTGAAAGTAAGATCAAACACAGTGACCAAAATAATTCAATCATATAACTTCTAATACCACTGAGGATAAGCACCAAATGTGCTGATGAGAATACATGGGACAACTTATTTACAAATTAAGTATAAAAATATTCATATAAAATTGACAACATAAAAAAAAAGATAATCGACATTAGCATATATAAAATTGTAGTCGTGCGAAGAAAAATATGCCACGAAGTGGCTTTCAATGTAAAATGAATTGGCCCAGCTAATCACTTTTGAGCTGGCGTTTCATTACAATACCATTTTACTCGCCCTTATACATGACCCACACACGTGGGCTATCGATATAACCTGAAAGGCTAAATTAATGTCCAAAAAATGATGGATTTCATCTAGAAACAAAATAACAAGTAATGTCAGGTGGAGCGCATATGTTCCAATTAAATACGAATAAACAAATCAAACATCATGATACCAATCTTTTATTTACTTTCATAAAAAATGAATATATCACAGTGTAAATATTTGAGTATTTATTTCACGTTCAAAGAAAGATGTCATTTTCTGAAAACCTCCACAAGAAAAACGTTCAGAAATATTTCGAGCTCCATTGCTTTATGATAAACTATTTTAAATCCACTTCTTACTTGCTTAGATGCTTCAAATTTTTTTCAAACCTCAGTTAAACTTTATGGAACTTTTCCATCTCTATTAAATCAACCACTATCCTACGAAAATAAAAAACGGATCAGTCACTGTTGCTGGTAAATTAAAAATACATATTTCTGAGTTTCAAGAGTGCGTACTGTGTACTCCGCATATATGTAATTAATTCAATACTATGTAAGGAATAAATGGTAAATTTTCAAACTAGTATTTATAACATTTTATATCCTTGTCCACACCCGTAAAATACACCGTAAATTGAGGTATTAATGATGGCAACAGCTGAACTGGAATTAAGGGTATGCTCAAGACTGAAAATAAACCCTTTACTTTTCTGCACAAATATGTTATCAACCCACCTATGCGCAATTTTCGCCATCATCACATGAGCTGAATTGCGAAAAATCAATAAACTATATAAAACCAAAATATAAAAAATAAATGCAAACCTGCATTTGACTCACTAGTCAAATAACCACCATGCTCTTGCAAAGTGTGATCTTTGAGAGCACCCCACTCGGCACATTTATGTTGGCAAACCGAACAAATGTAACCATGCTCTTCTTTCTGGTGTTCTTCCATCCAAATAAACCGATTACATTTGAAATCACAGATTCGGCATTCAAATTTGATTATTCCGGTATGTATTCGTTCATGCGTTGTTACCTGAAAATAAATACCAAAATAACAGATACAACATAATTAAAAGTTTTCTACATGACATTTATGATCCAATTTCAAATACTAATCCTGCCCACAACAAATTAGATACATTCAAAACTGACCGAGCATTCGCTTGTAAATAACTCATCACAAAAATGACAAGCAAAAGTTTTGGTAAAAACGTGGGCCATTTTTTTGTGCTTCCTGAGTTTTCGAGGCGTAAGAAATTTCAATGCACACATGTTGCACTTAAAGCCTGAATTTGCACCACGATGGAATTTCGCTCGATGGTTGAGCAACCTTTGTTGAGAACACAAATTTCTTAGTGGGGTGCATTCAAAACATATATATGTCTGAAAATCATTGAAAAATGAAGAAGCAATGGAAAATGGAAGGAGTGGAATCTTTCACATACAGCTTGTTTTAAAATACTATGATACTATTTGTGCAAGCCTGATGAAAAAATTAAAAAAGCAGCAACACGAATATTAGACAATGATGCCCCAAAAATTATAATTTTATACAGAAGACAAAGACTCTTCATATTCTGTGAATGTAGCTTACCAGATCACATTCATGAGAGGCCATTTCACCCTCCGTCTTAACTGCTTTAAAACAACGTAAGCACTGGATGAATTCAACTGCATCGGGATGCTTTTTCACAAAATGCTTTTTCAAAGAGACTTCGTTTCTGAATCGCTTATCACAAAAAGGACACTGAGGAGAAATCTGAAGTCAAGCATGTTTTCAAGTAACTCAAGCATTAACAACCTAAGATTCCATACCATTTCAAAATCTTTATCCATTTAACGTCCAAACCTTCTTTTTATAAGAACGCTTTGGTTGACGTAAAAAACCATGACGATCAAAACGCGCAGGTATGCCGCCACTTAATTCACCGGGTAAAGGGATTCTGAAACAGAAAATCAAAACAGTTCTAAACTTAATCGACCACGAATTAATGACACGAAAAAAAAAAA